AAGTAAACAAGGCTTATGCATCCCTTGGTAAGGAGGATTTCCCAGATGCTGGCAAGGATCTATTTGGCAAGGGTTTCGAGTCACACCTTAAGGAACGTACAGAAACAGCAAAAGCAATAAATGAAGCTAAGAAAGTGGGGCAACAGCTTTTTCGGCCCGCCCCTCCACGTGGACGCCCCTACCTGGCAGTGGAGGGTCATGGAACAACCTACGACGCAGGGCCCGCCAAGGATGTTGGCAGACCAGAACCCATCCTTTTCAACAGAGGGGAAGGGGCTTTCTCCCCCCCACGAGCCAAACCTCAAACAAACCAGTGAACAAAGGTATGTCCCCAAATCTTTTACCAATAATCTCTGCCCCAGCACAAGTAGCTGGACACCTAAAATATTTTCAGAACAATTGGCATCTTATTTCGGACGACCCTTGGGTGTTGGAGACTATTACGGGTTACAAAATAGAGTTTCACTCTATGCCTCACCAGATAGCCTGGCCTCACATTTTCGTGTCAACAACCCAACAGGAGGCTGTTCAAGCCGAGAAAGACAAAATGGCCTTGCAAGGAGCCATCCACCCAGTCTCCTCCAACACCGAAGGGGGGTTCGTCAGCAGTATATTTCTAGTCGACAAGAAGGACGGTGGCCACTGCCTGGTTATAAACCTAAAGAATCTGAATTCCTTTGTGCACTTCCAGCATTTCAAAATGGAGGGAATTCACATGTTATGGGATCTGTTAAAAAAAAAGGGGATTTCATGGTCAAACTGGACTTAAAAGATGCTTACTTTACTGTCCTGGTCTGGAAAGGGCATCAAAAATTCTTAAGGTTCATCTGGAAGGAAACTCTATGGGAATTTGCATGCCTTCCATTCGGGCTGGCCAGTGCACCCCGGACATTCACCAAAATCAGGAAACCTGTTGTGGCAACTCTTCGGAACTTGGGGATTCGTCTTATTATATATCTCGACGACCTTCTCATCCTAGCGGATTCAGAGCAGACTGCCAGACTACACCTGGCAACAGCTATGAATCTCCTAGAGAGTTTGGGGTTTATCATCAACCTGAAAAAGTCAGTTTTAGCCCCTGTGCATAAAATAGAATTCCTGGGTCTGTCTGTGGACTCAGTAACCCTGTGTCTTGCCCTCCCTCGAGACAAAGTCACGAGTATTTGCAGGGAGTGCGAAGGCCTGATCGCCAATCCAGTTGCAACAGTGCGGCAATTAGCCCATCTCTTGGGTCGGTTGAACTCCTCCATTCAAGCAGTGTTCCCTGCCCCACTCTATTACCGCTGCTTGCAGCAGGCAAAGATCCAAGCACTCCACTCAGGAGGCCATTACGAGTCTCAGGTCTATCTGAACCAGGAGGCGATAGAGGAATTGCAATGGTGGGCAGAGAACCTTATGGCTTGGAATGGGAGTGCCCTTGCCCACCCAGACCCCAGCATGATAATAGAGAGTGACACCTCAATGGAGGGCTGAGGTGCCCATTGCAATGGGGTGAGTACAGGTGGCCTATGGAGTCAATCCGAACAGTTTCTCCACATAAAGTGTCTGGAACTTCTAGCAGGCTTTGTGATCAAATGCTTCGCAAAGGACAAAACAAACATTCACATTCAGCTCCTGATGGACAATGTGACTGCACTTACATTCATCAACAAAATGGGGGGAACCAAATCCCGTGTCCTGGCCTCTCTGTCTCGCGGTCTCTGGCAGTGGTGTCTTCAGAGACAGATAAGAGTGTCTGCCACCCACATCCCAGGGATCCTGAATGTGAACGCAGACAGGGAATCCAGGCATCACCTGGACTCCTCCAATTGGAAGCTTTGCCCAGTAGTGTTCCAGACCCTTCAGAACCTTTAGGGCCCGTCTGGAACTCGACCTGTTTGCGTCCCCGTTGACAAACCAGCTACCTCGCTTTGTGAGCTGGAAACCAGACCCCCAGGCCGAAGCAGTGGACGCCTTCTCCCGTCAGTGGAACATAGTCAAGGGTTATGCCTTTCCCCCCTTCTGTCTCCTGGGCAGGTGCCTCAGTCAAGTGCTGAGACAGCAAGTCCCATGCCTTGTACTGGTAGCACCAGTGTGGAAATCTCAACCTTGGTATCCCCTCTTGCTGGATCTTCTGGTGGACTTTCCAGTCCTTATTCCCCAGTCTCCAAATCTATTAACCTGGGAGGGAGTGTCCCACCCTCTGACCCACCTCCAGCTGGGAGTATGGTTTATCTCAGGCAACAGTATGAGGAGGGAGGCTTTTCATGCCAAGCTAGAGAGCTCCTCTCAGCGGCTTGGAGGAAAAACACCTCCGACCAGTACGCTTCTGCATGGAGAAAGTGGACTGGCTGGTGCTCTCCGAGGAAAATTAATCCCGTTTCAGCATCTCTAAATGACATTATTAATTTTCTTGCAAGCGAGTTTTTGTAGGGGAAACAGTACCAAACACTTGATGTTTACAGATCTGTTATTTTAATGACCCACCCTACAATTGACTCTGTATGGGTAGGAGAGCACCCCATGGTTTGCCAGTTGTTGAAAGGAATCTTTAATTCAAGACCTCCCCAGCCCAGATACTCCTTCACCTGGGATGTGTCTGTGGTTGTTGAGTATATCAGAGGTCTCGGGTTGAATACATCCTTATCTTTGAAGTTGTTGACTCAAAAGCTTGTAATGCTTTTGGCTGTAACTTCTGCGGAAAGAAGCTCTGAACTGGTGGCCCATGACCTCCATTTCAGACGTTTTTACCCTGAGGGTGTAGTGTTCAACCTTCCATGCCTGACTAACTCTATTTGAACTGGGATTATACAAGGGACCGTAGGTCCTGAAGTATAAGATAGATTATACGATAAACATGAGACGGAATGTAACAGTACAATCCCACCCACATCTATAGCTCTGATGTGTAACATTTCTTTGTTTTAGTTTGTCTCTTTTCTTGTTTCTTCTGTTCCTTTCCAGGTTGGCTTGCTCAACAAAAAGGCGCTGTGGTGTGTGACCACAAGGACTTATGGGACCACGAGGCTGTTGAACTTGTTTTTCTTGTTTTTTCTGGTTAAACTCTCTAAATCGCTGTTATTGGAGCGAAATAAAGTTGGCATTGCATTGTTACATTCCGTCTCATGTTTCTCGTATAATCTATCTTATATATCTTCAGGACCTACAGTCCCTTGCATAATCTGGGATTGCACACTAAGTTTATATAACCATGAATTAAACTTAAGAAAAACTTAATTGAACTTGTTATAACCTTTTTAACTTCTGAAAATCAAATAATCTGACTTACCTCAAGGAAAAAGGGCATTTGTACTCTATGCCATTTTTGACACATTGGTAAATTTGAAAGGCCAGCAAAGAACTCAAGGCTTTGATTATGCCACTTAAATTCCTGTGTGATTTAAATTAAACAACGGGCATTTAATAAATTGAGGCTCACTTCAGCTACAACCACTTTTCTTGATCAGTTCAACTACAGTAGAATCCTGTCTGACAGCTACCCTGTTAATATGGCCATCTCATTATTACGGCCTCTTTATTCTGACCTGAATAAAAGCCTATTCAGTCATTTTCCTATTTAAAGAACCCCTCTAATAGGGCCACCCTGTTAATACCACCACATTTTTGTGGCCAGATTAACAGGGTTCCACTATACATGTCTAGCTGATTTAAGCCCTACTCTATCATTATTTCCTGTTTTTAAGCTGCTGTGTTTTTGGTATGTTTTTACCCCTCCCTTATCAATTTTTATGCCGGAATTGAGCCAGATACATGTCCCATCAGTAAATATTGTAACATCACCTTAATCTGCCCTCAGGTCAATAGGCAAGCATAATGTGATTATCACTGAAGGTTCAAGTACATCTATGTGGTACCTTCATATAAGTCAGTTCTCAAAGCCTAGATGTACCTTTCCCTCCATCCGTAAACTTCCACCCCGGCTAGACAAGTAACAGACCTACCTGACTGAAGGCACAGCATTCAATAATCCTTTCAGAATGTAATCAAGGTCAGCATGGCCATCAAAAACAAGTTGTACCAGGCACTGGCTACACAATCTGGCTGCCGATTCTGATGAATCTTCAATCATCTCCCACAATACCTTTAATTCAGGAATCTGATAAAAAACAGTTATGTAATGATGCCATTTTGAACACTTCTGGCTTACGGCTCATACAAAGTATAAATGGTATAAAGTACTCAGTGTTACTGTATAGATAAGCTTGACAAAATCATCATTGTCCATCCTCTGAGTGCCAGGTATTGCATGCTTAGGGCTGACATGACCAGACAAATGCAGACTACAGACTGAAGTTTTAGGTATATACTCGTTGTGTCTAGACTGCCTTACTGTAGCTTATGGATGTATTACCCACTGAATGTCAGTTAACCAACAAGGAATATGCCAAAGTCACCCATGTAGACATGTAGAATAGTCCAGGGCTTAGCAAAACATAATTATAGAAATTTGTCCTTGAACTTGGTTCTTTTTCCTTACCTCTTCTCTTGTGGTGTATGTGTGTAAGCATGTACATGTACATACCTCTACAGACTTCTCATTTAAGACAGATCCTGGTACCATCTTACCCAAGATACCATCATAAAGCTTCCATGCTGCCTGTTTTAGAAATTAATAATTAAAGACCTAATTAAAGGAAAAAAGTCAACCCAAGAGCCCTTCCCTGAGAAAAACTGAGTGTCTTTCAAGGTCTCTCCAAAGAAATGTCAGTGCACCCCGTGAAGACTATTGCTAGCGTCCCACTTGCTGTAAAGCTGTAAAATTTCCTTACAGGGCAGTAATTTCTCTATTAATTCACCTCACTTTCTTCACCTTCCTTTCTTATGGACCTTCCCCTCCCTCTAACACCCCCTCTCC